ACGAAACGTTTGAGTATAAATCTGCGTCATTTGAAAAATTTTGGTCACGGTTAAAATCATTGTGTCATTAATGGCGTCGCAGTAAGCAATCGTAAAGTACCAATTGACGTAAGTCCTTATAATTAAATAATCGAGGTTTAGGAATATATATATATATATATATATATATATATATATATATATATATATATATATATATATATATATATATATATATATATATATATATATATATATATATATATATATATATATATATATATATATATATATATATATATATATATATATATATATATCATGGAAACATACCACTAACATATGAGATTTAGATGAAAGATAATGCAACACTGTATTGTTTACAAAGTGTGACATAATACTGTAGCTTTTGTTTTGTTTCACTCATGGTATTTTTACCCTCACTAATCCAGCTTATTTATCATTATGAGTGGGAAGCAAATGACGCCAGCAACACAAGGATATAAAGATACTGTTTTGTGTATTGTATTGACCGAAGAGGAATACTGTATATGTGACAAGAATTCTTTCATTCAGGTTTCACCAAAATATGGGTTACAGTTTACATCTAATTTGAGTTATCATTTATGCTATACTGTTATGAATCAGCAGCAAATGAGGCCAACAACATTATTTGATGCTATAATGTAAATGCAAGAATCATGTGTTTGGACTACTTTTGGCCCAATTTGAGTTACTTAGGTCAATTTGATTTCATATTTCCAGAACTATAAAATATTTAATTTTTCACATAATTTATAATATAAAGTAATTTTTACTATATGATAAGGTTTTCGAAGACATTTTGTGAGAGGTATGGAAGCCTTATGGTTTATTCATATTAGAAAAGTCATTAAAAAGCGCATATGAATATAGTACTGTACTTAAATTTTTCCATGGAGAAATTGCACATATTGGGAACGAACCCTGAAGTCTCATGATACAGTGAAAGGGTTAAATGAATTAAAATACATCTGTATTCTTCAATTTCATTTGCTAATTATATACAATAAAGGTGTAGAGATTTTAAGAGAAAGTGTGGAATTTAGAAGTGAACAAAAGTTTGGAGGTGTGGATATTGCTGGCCATGCATAAAACAGTGGGAGTGTAGCATTGACTGACTGATGGCAGCATTCACTTGATGTAAACGAAGCAGTGGAAATTTAGGATGACGTAATAAGTCATCAGGGGTCGAGCATGGGAATGGACGAGTTGACGGTTCTGGGTAAACACAAGAAATACACTCTGCCACGTTCGTAGAGTGATACGGTAAATATAATTTGTAATAAAAGTTTCAAGTCCTGCTATAATAGTCGAGATAAGTTTATTTCTCTAGAAACAGCCGCCATTTGCAATGATGTCACCACCTACTTTGCAGATGACGCAGGGATGGAGATATGAGTCAATTTAGAAGTAATGACATTGTCTTGACTTTGTTTTGAGAATGCCTGATGCTAGGTAAACATGACAACATAGTGCTGTTATTGTTTTGATGATTCACTAATGAACCACTGGGATATATCATCATTTATATTAATTAATGGGTCAAATTTTACTTTAACTACCATAAGTATTTGGATGCTTAGATTCGAGATAGGCTTTACAGGGTAAATTTTAATTTTTGGTCATCCCTGTACTTAGACATACTGGTACAGACTGTTTCCTTTTTCTGATGGTTTGCGAATTGTTATGAATGATTTAGACCTTAATTGCTATTGGAAATCACTAGTTTTAAATTACTGCCTCCCCCCTTACTGATGTATGTTAAGCTAACCTTATAACTCATCATACCCTAACCTAACCTATGACCTGTATTTTCTTATGCGATCGAAAATTGTTTTGCGACAAATCCCATAGAGATAATTTGTCTTATTATTTAAAGTACTTAATCCCATAGTTAGAATCTTAAGGTTCCCCAGATGACCAAAACCAAAATAATACCAATATTGTTTGGAATGTTTATACTGTACTATGAAATTTCTTGTATGGGCAGGCAATATCCATTGAAGTAGTTAATGTTCTAAGTAATATTTATATATTCAAATCAGCATTACTGTGTTGCACAGTAAAGCACAATTAATTATCTACAGCTCCTCCCCGACTTACGACCTACTCGACTTACGACCACCCGCACTTACGACCTGCCTCAGTCGTACCAAAATTTTGTCAAATTACGTATTTTCGAGTCCCAACGTCAGTGATTGTGCTGTGTACTGACAAATTTTCGTTTGTAATTCACTTTAAAATGGCTGGCAAGCTTAAAAGTGAGTGTTTTGTGGTGCTGAGAAGAAAAAGAGACACCCATTTTAGATTTTCTATGTATTATTTAAGCATTTTCGACTTACGACCATTTCGACTTACGACCTGGATTTGGGTCCCTAACCCCGTCGTAAGTTGGGGAGGAGCTATAATATTTCTTTACAGCGCCGATCAGCCGAGAAGGTTGGACATCTACCTCCACAGTTCATCGAGGCAGATGAAAGAAATTTATCAAAAGTAGATGTCATTATGATAGTAGAGTATTATCAAGAACTTTGCCATCCAGCTATGAAGCACGTTAAATTAAATCTGTCATCTGATCATCTCAAGCCCATCCCCTGGCCATGGTCATCCCTAGTCCTTCCACAACATTAAATATAGACATCAGTAACAAAAACATACATTTTCCAGACATGAAATAGAGAACAGTGATCAAACCTTCCATGTTGGAGTTATAAATCTTTTGCATCATTGTGTCACCCAGCAAGTAAATACACACGATGATACTTTAGCAGTAATTTATTTTAACCTAAAATAAGGTATGCCTGTGTATATCAACATTGTATATGGCCACAAGTCCTGTGTTTCTGCTGGTAACAACACATACACCACAGCTGGCTGCCTCCAGACTCCCGCTTTGCAGCTCGCACTAGTCGGTGATGTCACAACCAATCACAGAGCTTTTTCACAGTCGCGTGACTTTTTAGCTATTTTAACCCCCCTTTCTTTTTCTTTTTTTTTACACTTTTTGGCCTAATTTATTTAAAAATATCATTACCATAGTGAATTTAAGCGTTTTCTTTACCCATTGACCTGCCATCTTACGAAAAAATTACGACCGTCAACTCGTCCATTCTTTTAGTCGTAAATGTATCTCCAATTACAGTAATATTTTTGTTATAGAAGTTGGCTTAGTGTGTCACTCTGTTCACTGTCTCAAATCTCACCAGGTTTCTCCTAAATACAGGTATAAAATTATTACTGTACTGTACTGCACTGCATGTATTTCACTTCTTATGTTTATTATTGGTTGATACAGTAATCAATGGGTACACCAAAAAAATTTCATTACAAACAAGTGTTTTGCCATTTTTAAGACATTTTAAGGATTTTTATTTCTCTCAGCTTATGGGAAAGTGTGCTCCAATCTATGAAAAATCGATGTATGAAAGGTTTTTCAGGAACGGATCCCTTTCGTAAATTGGGAATGCCTGTGCAGTACTTTGATTTTCTTTCCATTGCTAATTTAATTTAATAAGTTGGCTTACAGTACTATAGAGTTCTCAGACTTATCACTTACTTTTTTCCCCAGTAAAGATTAACAAGTGTTAGCATTAGAATTTTAGCATTAAGTGCTTACTCACTCACACCTTCTCTAGAAAACAAAACATACTAATTGCCACAGTTCCACATTTCACAAACTTAAAATAGGATTTGCCAGTTGATTATGCTCATTTTTTTTTTTTTATGCAGGCTGAAAAAGATCAGAAAGTTGTTCAGCGAATCATCAAGATGACAAGTTTCTGCTTGAAGGTGATTATTGCTTTGTGTGAAAAATTCCGAGGGTACCTGAGAGGTTCACACTCGCTTCTGGTGTCACTTCTGTTACTATTATTCAGGTAATATTTTTCATATTTAAGTGTTTATGCAGCTTCCAATTGCTTTCTCAATCTGCAGGAGCTTGTTAACATTCCATCCTATCCATTGGTCATTGGTTAGTCACTCGCTAGGCTCCTACCAAGTTACCATATACCGCTATTTGAACGAGTCATACTAAAAACCATGACATCACTTTGTTGAACAATTGCACCTTATGTTAGTTTTGTGGAGAATGTTTTGATAATTTGTGTTATGTTTGTGATGCTGTGTGTGGACTTTTGCTTGGACAAAGTTTCTAGTGCTAATAAAATCACTAGTTGGGAGGATGTCTTATGTTGAGGTGTGTTTTTGTTTCTTTGTTTTTAATATTTTATTGACATGATATTTTGAGAAATAAAGACCTTCTTAGTTAGGAAAGTACTGTGTATGGCAGGACTAACAGTATGTATGGGGGAGATAAGAGGTATGGAGTATCAAACTGAGAATGTTGTCAGAAGGGGGCAACTGTAGAATGTTTTGACAGGTACCATGCCCAAGGAATTAATCCAAGATTGAAAGTGAAACACTATGCTGTAGGGCATAGGTAGATGTAAAACCGTATTCTTCAAGTCTACTTTGTAGATACAGTTGAGTATCCAAAATAATGTGTGAAGTAATTGAATTTTTTGGAGAGTTGATTACTTTAATATCTGTACTGTAATACAGAAAGATATTAGAATACAGTACAATGTATAAAATGATTGCCAGAGCAGGGAAATAGTAATGTTGCCTTTTTGTATCTCTTAACAGGTTTTCACCAAATAACGTGACTCTGCAATTGTACCCAGACAGCATTAAGAATGATATTGAACGACAAGCAACAATTGGTATAGAACCACTTCTGATACATCTCAGACGTGATGAAGAATTTATTAAGGTTCATAGATATAGAGTTTACAGTAGTACTTCACGTTACTGCACTAATTATTGAAGTAGGTAGTTATGGTCACCTGTTCTCCAGCTATATGGGGCAGGTCCTTGTTCCAGAATCGGAAAAGTTAACCTTCTTGCAAATTTTATACAGAGTGGATGAGTTATAATAAACACATTTTAAATTTTTGGAAATTCTGCCATTATCATCATACACCGTAAACATCATACATACTACACAGCATACTTTATGCACAATGCACATGTAGAATATATTTATATACAGTAGTGGAGGTACACACACTGTTTTTACCTATACTGTACTGTTAAGTATCGGTTTTCTCTTGCCCACCTTGTATTATCTAATGGAAAATACTTGCAACAGTAGTACAGTAATACCCCACTTAGCACTCAGGATGGATTCCCAGAGGAGAGAGCATTAACTGAGTCTTGTGTTAAAAGGGATCATTATACTGTATATACAGTAGACCCTTGTCATTCGCAAGTTTGCGATTGGTGATTTCGACTGTTTGCGGTAAGCATATGGTGGCTAGCTTGCATGCCTTTTCCCGCAGCACAATGAATTACCCCACGCAGCATCTTGTGTTGTACTCTCAAAACTTTAGTGTTTCTGTGTGAAATGGCCCCTAAAAGACTGCCTAGTGTCAGTGCTAGTGATGCCTATGGAGTGATAGGTAAAAGGCAGAAGTCAGTGATGACCCTGACAAAGAAAGCTTTATTATTTAGATAAGTTAAAAGAGGGGATGAGTGCTGCTGCAGCTGGTCAATTGTTTGGCACTAAGGTAGTATAAGTTGCGATTTGCGGTTTTGCCAATTCGCGCCGTTTCTTGGAGCCTATCCCTCGCGAATGGCATTGGTCTACTGTATATATATATATATATATATATATATAATGGATGAAATGTGAATGCTTCATTTCTCTCTTGTACACATTTGAATATTCCTGAGGTATTGTGAATTCTTCTGGCACTGTCTTGCACTTGGTACCACAATTCTTCATGTATTGGGACTTATGTACAGTATTATACAATCTGCTTCTAAGGTAACCCCACAAGTGAAAATAAAGGAGGTTTCAGTCAGGTAATTTAAATGGCTGTGGAACAAGGGGATCACATCCTATCAACCTGTCAGGATACACAACATTTAGGTATTCTGTTGTTACACTAGTTAAATGAACTAGAGCAGGTCCTGATGGGCATGACCTTGATTACAATGGCAAGTATGTTCAAGAAATAATGTCACCAATAATGCTGGTCCACACATTGATTGTTGGTTGTTCCTGATGTGCTCTTCTAGTCATTGCTTGAGGATTTTAATCTGACTAGATATGCATTTTGTGAGAAATTACAATACCATCCCTTCAAAAGTTTGGATCATCTGTATAAAGCACCAGAGGTAATGGAAAGAGATGATTAACAATATGCTGGCATAGCAACCACTGACAAAACACTAGTTGCCAAGGATAGCCATCTTGGTTTAGAGCTTGGAACTTGTTGAAGTTGATATGGATAAAGTTGATGTTTGTGTAAAGTCCTCCAAACAGCTGACGGCGACATTTGCATATCGGCAGCAATTTATCAAGTACTTGTGCTAGGTTCTTCTTTGACAATGCACAATATTTACTTTGAGAATATAATTGTCACGTGGTCACTATCTATCTAATGCATGTGAACAAAGGGTACCAATTTCTCGAAACCGACAATTGGCAGCAATAAACAAACGACTCATTGGCATCCTACAGTTGGAGTAACTTTCCACATACAGCTGTACAGCTTCTGCTGCATATTACCCTGTTTCTCTTAGAGTGAGGTGTGCATATCTGCATTTTTGCCAATTATATACTCCTCCATGTCTAATTACAAGAGCGGGCGGTGTCCCGTGTTCGGTGCCGCGCGCGATTTGAATGTACTTCAATTACTTCAATGTACAGAATATTCCTCCGGCGGGGCAATCCGCGTATTTGCAAATCCGTGTATGCTAAACCCGCGTATGTTAAGGGCCAACTGTATATCAGCAGTGGCATATAAAAACGCCAGGGTTCAAGATTCTTTTTCATTTAGGAGGTATTAAATGAAATTTTTCAGTTAGCATTGGAGCTTCCATGTCCCATCATGGCCACACTTATTGCATTATTATTATTATTAATTTTTCTATTGGGAAAATTTTTAAGACTTTTATGAATTGCGGAATTAATTCCAACAAATCTGTCTTTCAAAGTGTGATATTTCCTTTCAGTTGCACATTTGGTCATCTTGTCTGTGAGACTTCAGTAAGAGTGTTACTATTGTTCTGGACATTATGACAGCCTTTGATAGAGAATGGCATAGAATTTGAGCTTTACCTGATGTTTTATTGAATTGCTCCATATTTGTTGACAATGATGTTTCTGTTTTGCCTGTTTTTTCGGTAAAAACATACATTCCACATTATGTATTCCATTTTGTCCCCTAATATCATATTGTTTGTCAATGACCTCCTCTGTAATTCTGATCCATTAACCTTCTGAGGGCTCAACCCATCATTCCTGCAAATATTTCATAAAATTTCCACCACTTAGTAAACTTGGTAAATCATGAACAAGCATGTTAACCTGAATAAGTATTGAATGAGTGATCTTGATACCCACACAAGCATGGAAAACGGCTGTAAAACAGTGATGATGATGATTATGATACAATCAAATATTGAGGCACTTTTAGTTGTAACTTTAAATGTAAAGACAACATATCATACTATTATACTCTCAACCAATAATAGGCATTATTTTGTCTGTATGTTTCTTGCAGATGATGTTCAAAATGGATCAAGATGGAACAGAAATTTTAGCTGAAGACTGGGGAAATTATCTGCTTTTGTTATTGGCAGTGTGTGTCCCTCCCAGTACCATATCTGCCTTATACAACAACACATTCATCACAAAGATCTTCATGGTTGTGAAAAAATGTAAAGTAGAAGTGCTTCTGGATATTTGTGATATTTTGTTTGTTACTTTTTCATCTTTTACTTTGTATAGTGTTATCTTTTATCATGCAAGTCTGGATAACTACTGTATATTGGATTTACAGTATAGTCTGCATTTACACGGTCAATTGAAGCCGTGGAGGCCCGCGTAAAACGAGAAACATGTAAATGAAATAACAGAACATATGGGATTAATTGAAATAGAGACTGGGCCGACCCCCAAACTCCACTTTTTGCCGACACAATACGTACCTTGTAGTAAAAATAACATCTTAATTTTATGATGGCATGCACACATAATTAATAATTCAGAGAAATATCAATAATATTAGGTTTTTTAACACTTACGTTAGTAGAAAAGCTGGGTCGGCACACGTGGATGGCGGCTGGTTCCGAGGCAGAGGGCAGATTAGTTGCCCTCCAGTGAATCACTTTCACTACTCGCTGCAGGGCCTCCCAGCCAAACCTCTCAAAGTCCATATCCTCACTGTCAATATCACTATCACTGACTTTGGCTGGCTGTGGTTGTGGTGGATTGCGGGCGAGGAAGTCCTCAATACTACGTTGACAACTAGCATTGATGTTGTCGAGATAGATCTGGATATACGGCTCCATAACTTTCGTCAGATGGTTATTAGACGCTTCATGCCGATGCTTGTCTGGGTCGTTGTCAAGGATGAGCTTAATTTTCTCCCCCAACTCGATGATTTCCTTCACACAATCATGGCTTGGTCCAGGTAATTCAATGTTTTTCTCTTGTGGTGGGGGTCCCGCGGAAGCCATTGTGAGTTGTGAGGGGAATTGCGGGCACAAGAGAGAACTGTATACGCGGACTGAGAACAAGGAGACAGGCCCTGCTAGGTCAGCGACTTGTACCCTCTGGTGGCAGGGCACGTCATGTTACATTAGACCAATCACAGCTAGCGGCGGAGGGAATGCGTGGGTGGTAAGGATACGTGGCCCAATCACAGTCCGATGCATCATATGACGTCACCGATAATGCAACAGCGACATACTGCGCAACCTTACTCACGCCGCTTCCCCCCGCTTGTGGTCCAGCATGGGCTGCTTGAATACAAAATGGCACGGCGCGTCTGGACCTCCAGCCACTCTCTGCGTAAATAACTAAATTTACCGCGTAATTAAAGCATTTCAATTTTGGCAAGGCACCACGTAAATGACCAAACGCGTTAACCAAAACCACGTAAATCCAGACTATACTGTATATTATTATATGACTTTATTTATATTAACAGTAGGAGGCAATATCACGGGACTGTAGGTCTGGGAGCTGTTATATGCTCATGACTTAGTGCTGATAGCAGATAGTATTGAAGAGGCAGTGGAAAATTTTAAGAAATGGAAGGATGGAATAGAGGCAAAGGGCCTGAGTGAATGTGGCAAAAAAAAAAAAGAGTACTGTGTTAATTATTGGTGTGGTTGAGGGACCTGTGATAGAAAGTGGAAAATGGCTATGTGCTGTCTGCATATGTGCAATGAGTGTGGAAGATGGGTATACAAGAAGTGCAATGGATTAGAAGGTAGACTGCGGGATGTTGCTAACTTTTAAGTGTTCTGTATGTGCAGGTCACCATGTGCTCACAGCAAGGCTGGGGAAACTCAACATTGGGATTATGTCCCTGGTCTGTGTTGAGTTCTGTTACCTTGATCACATGATCAGTGCCAGTGGGGGTGATGAAGCTTGCTCAGTTGCAAGAGTCAGAAGTGACTGTAGGGAGCTGCTGCCTTAATTGATGGCAAGAGGACCTTTCCTCCAAGTGAAAGTAAGAATGTATATGGCTGGTGTGAGAAGCATGATGCTGTATGACAGTGAAACATGGGCAATTAAAGAGGATGACATAAGTAGACTCGAGTGGGCTGAAATGAGAATGGTGAGGTGGATGTGCATTGTGACACCGAAAGAGCGAGTATCAGGAGTTTTGGTAGTCCTGCATAGAGGCCAGATGAGATGGATGTGACCGGTTGGATCAAACGGTGCATGAACCTAGATGTGGAGAGAAGGACAACCAGGGGTATGCCAAGAATGACATGGGGGGAGAGGTTTTAAGAAATGACATTAGAGTTAGGAACCTGACAAGAGAGACTGTAAGAGATCGTGTAGCATGAAGAGCTGCCATCAGGTAACTGCAACTAACCCACGGAAGAGTGGAAAATGGCCGTAAAACAATGATGGTGATGATCATCATGATTGTGTTTTCATGTACCATTACAATTTATTAGGTGTATGAATTATTCTTTTACACCCTTCTACGGTATAGTATAGATTTAGTAGGGAGAAAAACGTTTTTTTTTTCTGAGGAAGTTATTTTTAGGGCTCTGGGGGACATATTTACCAGGTAATGAATGTTTTGTGTATGTGCGTGCATGCGTGTGTGCATTCGCTGTGCGTGCGTGCAATCGGTTAGTATCTGCTTCATGGATAAACCAGTCAGAGTTTATTTCTTAAGTGATCCATGTCCATTTACAAGGCTTGTAAAATATTATACAGTACAGTATAGGCATAATTTTCATGCCTATCAGAGCACAGGGCTCATCACTTTTTCTTATCACAAGCAGTTTATGTTTATGCTTGCCAGCAGCATATGTGCGTATTTGAACAGTGTACAACTCCTTTGACATTCTGATGCCATATACCACATTCTCTGCACCATCAAGTATGTTACAACTTAAAAAGCAAACAACACAATCTTATCTGCATCATAAATTTGGTTAGGGCTTCCCTTCATATATCTCTAACAAAACAAAATCAATCTTGTTTTATCCAGCAGCCTCACTGTTGGCACACATGTTCACCACTAGCTTTCAAATGATTAATGCCATGCAAGTGGATGAAAATGAGAATTACATTTATTCCAACTGAAGTTCCTCCTGAATTTCTGAGGATTTTGAGTAAATGTTTAGGATAATTGAAGAATCAAGATATCTGAGCTTTAGATAATCAAGATTGTACTACATATGATTTTGGCTATTGTCACTAATTATGATTTTCACACAGGTCATGCAAGCTTCTCCTTTCCATGTGTGATGGACGGCGTGATGTATGGAGGACGACCTCGGTACAAAGTTGCCTTATATGAACACTTGCTGATTCGCATGTGTACTTTGGTGGCAACTCTAGAAATTCAAAATTTTGAAGCTTTGGAGCAGGTCCTTGTGCAGTGGCTGTTGAGTGGACAGACATGGCCAGCACTCTTGGCTGCTGATTTATGGAGCTTTGTTGCAAGGTAAAATATGATACAGTACTGTAATCTTACCGTTTCCAGAATCCTTAGTCTCCGGAACTCTCCAATAGCTGGAACTGATATTGGGCGAGAAAAATTTCAGGGAAAATTCTCTCCATTCTGGGCAAGGGAACGAGTCTCTGAGGATGAAAATCTGATGTATTTTCAGGAAAAATTCTGAGAAAATCTCTCCAAACTTCTCCGTTCTGGGCCTATGAAAAAATTTTCTGGTAATTCTGAGAAATTGCATCATGCTCCAATGCATTCCCACATGCCAGGTATGTGGATGGCCGAGCTGGTTGGGTAACTTGGTAGTACATATTCTGCTGTCATTGTGGAAGGTTGTTCCTTTGCTATCTGCTGTTTTTATGTACATTACTGTACCAGGATACAATCAGCCAAGAATACAAGACAGTGTTAAAGCAGTGTTAAGATGTAAAAAGTGACTACAGTTACATATAGTGTACCTGCACTGTACATTCAGTAAGTGTAAAAGTACCATATGTACAGGAAAAGGGAAACACTGGAGCACCTTTGCTTTGTCTTTATTCAAGACATCTTCAGGTCATGTTTCACTGTCATACAGCATCATGCTTCTCACACCAGCCATATACATTCTTACTTTCACTTGGAGGAAAGGTCCTCTTGCCATCAATTAAGGCAGCAGCTCCCTAAACTTCCTCCAGTCACTTCTGACTCGTGCAACTGAGCAGGCTTCATCACCCCCACTGGCACTGATCATGTGATCAAGGTAACAGAACTCATCAACACAGACCAGGGACATAATCCCAATGTTGAGTTTCCCCAGCCTTGCTGTGAGCACATGGTGACCTGCACATACAGAACACTTAAAAGTCAGCAACATCCCGCAGTCTACCTTCTAATCAATTGCACTTCTTGTATACCCATCTTCCACACTCATTGCACATATGCAGACAACACATAGTCATTTTCCACTTTCTATCACAGGACCCTCAACCACACCAATAATTAATCAATACAGTACTCTTGTTTTTGCCACATTCACTCTCAGGCCCTTTGCCTTTTATTCCATCCTTTCATTTCTTAAAATTTTACACTGCCTCTTCAACCCACCCAGCATCTCTCGCTAGCTCAGCATGTTTATCACTCATCAATGATCATTTGAGAAAAAGATATATAAAATCCTTACAGTATTGTAATGTGACTTAGAAATAAAGAAAATATAATATAAAACTATAAAATTAGAAAAATGAAGAGCATGGGTGTGTAGGGAACTGAACATGTGTGGAGGCAGTGGGTTATAACTACGTTGCCAACTTGCCAGTCCAGCTGCTGTGTTTATTGTTACATGTAATGTAACTGTAAAAGTTGTGAAAAGATCATTACAATACTCTAATGTGGCTTAGAAATAAAGAAAATATAATATAAAACTATAAAATCTGAAAAATGAAGAACTTGGGTGTGTATGTGTGGGAAGTGAATGTTTGTGTGTGGAGGCAATGTAACTGTGTCGCCTGCTCACCATTCCAGCAGCACTTCCTCCCTCCCCGGATGCAAGTCAGATAGGTGGCATTTCATATCGTCCAGAGGATGGTTTGAATGTGGAAGGACCTCTTCTTTGTACATTAATATATACTGTACCGGTAAATCTGAGTAATAAATAAAAAATAATACTCTACACAGACCAGTTGAATTTAACTCACCACAAATGATGTTGAGTGCTGTGTGAAGTGAAGTGAGGTGAGGTGGTGCAATGGGAATTATTGGGAGAGAGAGGGATGGGCACTAATGTCTTTTGCCCTACCCTGTAAATCATCATCATCATCATCATCATAATTTTTTTGCCCCCAAAGCAGTGCCTGACACTGCTTTGGGGGCAAAAAATTATCCAAAGTTATTTGACATATAGTGTGCATCTTCTCTTTGTACACCTCACTGTAGCAGCTGAGGCCTTTATGAACATCTTTTGCAACTTTGAGGTTATGTTCATGATTAAGATCATTAGAAGCAAAGATTTGCAAACCTTCCTCTATAAGTGCAAACCCTTTAGCCATTTCCTTGTAGTCAACTGAAGTGGTGTGGGTGGAGCTTTTATATTCTCCTCTTCTGTAGCTCACTCTTGTTCTAACAGCATTAGAGCCTCATGAGACAGATCTTCTCTGTGGGACTGTAGCAACTCAGCCGCATCATCTTCTATGACTTCTGCAAAGTCTGCATCACGTGCAAGTGTCACAATGTCTTCTTGAACTTGATGTTAACTTTCTTCTCGTGGAAAACCTTGAAAGTTGTAGGTACACTCTGGTCATGTGTTTTTCAAACACCATTCATAGCTGACGATTTCACTTCATCCCATGACTTTGCACTGTTTTCCACAGCATCCATGATGTTGAACTTTTTCCAGAAGTCCTTAGCTGTAGGTTTATTTTCCCCATCAATTGCTTTTATGGGTTGTTCAAAAGTTCTTCTTCAATAATATACCTTGAATTTTGCAATCACACCTTGATCCATTGGCTAGAGCAAGACAGTTGTGTTCTTGGGGATATCCTCGTACTTCTCTCACATGTTCAGAACGATCATTTAAGTTCACTGGGTGGCTAGATGCATTGTCTAAGAGGAGTAATGCTTTGTTGGATATATTATGCCTGTCACTATACGGTACCTTTCAACAGCAGGGCAAAAATAATTAGTGAACCAGCCTTGAAAAAGGCTCATAGTCATTCAAACCTTCTTATTTGTTTGCCAAATCACAGTTAGATTAGATTTGGCATATCCCTTGCCAGCCCTTGGATTTTCAGAGTGATACACAACGAGAGACTTTGATATCATATCACCAGCAATGTTTCCTTCCACAAGAAGTGTTAGATGATCTTTTGAAGCCTTAAAACCTGATGTTGACTTTTCTTCCTTAGAAATAAATGTCCAGCAGGCATGTGCTTCCAATAAAGTCCTGTTGCATCCACATTGTACACTTGTTCTTTAGCTCTTGAGATTTTCTGTTTTATTGCTTATTTGCAGGTACTGTATATACACAGGTACAATCTGAGAGAATATATTGTGAATTTTCTCCAGGGAAGTGTTGTGAATAACACTTTGAGATAACACTTTGAGATAACACTTTGAGTTAAGTGCCCAGTTTCCCTGTCCAGTGGTAGTGAATGAACTGCCACCCCCTGGGCATGATAGCGGGCCGATTGTTTACTATATCAGCTGACCCTGGCTCGATCCTTAAGAGAGATCCAAGCCAAGTGATCTAGAGTCGTGAATAACATGGTGATCACTTGGTGAATAACTTTGTGTTATTCATTTGGGTGCATATTTATATAAAGAAAAGGTCCTGTTACAGCTCGTCAGGATATTTACATGCGGTTTCTATATCAGTATTGGCAGCTTCACTGACCATCTTAATGTTGTGCAAATTAAGGCACTTCTTTAACCTTTCAAACCAGTCTTTATTAGCCTGAAAAGATTTTGTTTCAGAAGTTACACATTCCTCTTTCTTCAAATCATTACACAAACATTTTGCCTTCTCCTGAATGATCATTGTGTTTATCAGCACATTACGTTGGGTCTGGTCTTCTATCCACACACTGGAGTTGTTCCATATTAAGCATCACTTCACATGTTTTTGCAATCTGGCTAAGTTTTTCTCCCGCATCAAACCTCCACGAAACATTAAGTTTTATATCCAACGTAATTCCTTTATGGGATCTTTTAGCACTGATGCTCTCACTTGCACTTGATGGCCTTTTTCCATTCATCTTGAATAAGGGTAATACACTGGAAAGTCTTGAATAAGCTAGGTGAGTGTTAAATCCAAGAGCTGGGGTCAAGAGATCAAACGTACTGTACATGCTGGGAGATAACAACACACTGTTAACGCACCCACACTTGGTGGTATCACATATCAAGAAATCCACACTAAATAAATTATAATGTTTTTTTATATCAATTTTTGTGTTGAAAATTTTTTAAATACTGGACAGGGTATCCTCCATTTCCATGAGGTCGAATTTACGAGCCATATCCCGAATTTAGTGGTCGTAATTTACAAATTCAGAATAGGCAAGTTTCTGCAACTTAAGTTTCCGTAAAATGGGAGACACTGTACCTGTATTGGAGAGTTCTGGGATTGGGATTCCAGCTAACAGGGAGATTACCATATAAAAACAGAAAATCTATATGATACAGGCCATCAAATGGAGGTATTTTGGGGGCATGAGGCTTCCATGGAGCTGAGTGTGTCTAGACTCTAGACAGTACACATTGCTGTCAGACGTATGAGAGCACCTATCAAAAACCAGCCACCTTGACTCGCCAAGTATATTTGTTCCGAGAGCTAGTACCAAACTTCCGAGAGCGTATGAGAGACCAAAGAAAATTTAACCTTTTTTCCCACAAAGGTTAAAATCTTAAATGTACTAAAAAAAAATATAATAATTCATATGGCATATAAAAATCAAGAGGATGTTGAGGCTAAGCTAAAATTACAGTAGGTTCAGTGTTCTTATGTAGCTTGAGTTGGAAATCCCCCACCTTCTGGAATTTTCCACCTTGCAATATAGACAATACAGACACCGATTCAATCCAGAATTTCAGCCAAACCGGACAGGCCTTACCCCAATTAGTCCGGATTAGACGAAGTTTACTTTAATGACGGTGAAAAATCAGACAGACTGGTAAATCTTGAGCCATGAACAGGCACTGGTACATGAACCATAGATTGGGAACCACCGCATGGTGTACTTATATATTTTTATTAGATATACAAAAAGGGAACTCAGTCTTTTATTTCATTGGGAATCAAGCCTGTAACTATTGACTTTAAAGACAAACACTACTGTACCATGTGAGCTGAGCCACAGATTACATAATGCATTAGAGAAAAAATATTAATGTATTTTTCCAGGCTGAGCAGATTATGTGGAGGAATATTTACATGTCCTAGGCAAGTGACTAGTGATTAATGAAATTTATTTGCCCAGATTTTTTTTTCTTGCCTTGACAAATTTTGGAGGAAATTTTATTGGCCTCTCTTTTTTTTAAAGATAAATAAGCATTTTAAAACATTAAAATGCATTGTGGCTATTAATTCAGTTTGCTTGTGTCCATCTAAAATACCTTCACCCAGTCAGTGTTCCTTGCTTCTTATTCATGTTGAAGTTTTAACTTCAATTTGTAGCAGAAATTTGTGTACACAACAAACACTGAATTTTTTTTTCAGGTCAGATCATTGTGAGACTAGACAATAGGATGTATCAACTGTGATGTCACTGAGGTTCTTAGTACAAACCAGGGCTTTCTTAGCAGGTCAAATCATTGTGGGAACAGAAACGTCAAGAATCAGTTTAGCTTTGACATCATGATACGGTGTCCAGTCAAGCAAACAAACAGCCCCCCCCTTCCCCTCCCATCATCTTGCTGGTTGATAGACCTCATTGGTTAAATGTATATGGGGAAGTGAGGTCACACAACACCTGACAGATTCCTGTCTGGATATTTTCCTTTCAAAATATTAACTTGTCTGCCAGGCATTAACCAGGCATGCGAACATGAAAAATTACTTGCCCGGGCTGTTAGGCTCTGCTAATCTGCGCAGCCTTATTTTTTCCTTGGATAACTTACCTAGTTATAAATACTGTACTAAATAGATAAGCATCTATATATAGAATATTTCATGCAAGAAAAGAAAGCATACTCAAAATATAATTTATTTTGTTCTTCAGATTTGGAACTAGTGAATTGTGCAAGAATCATTGCACGGTGTTGATGGATGTGCTACCCCAAACTCCTCCATCATCCCACCAACGCCTTATGACTGCTTCACTTTTATCTCGGTTGCTTCCTAAACTTACTTCACATCATAGACAAGAGATTATCTCAAATTTCAAGGATACAGGTGAAAATGAATTTTCAGAATTCAGTATTAGATTCACAAACAATAGCCTTATTCTGTACCATAAGAGAATGATGTGTTCCCCTTGGGATTTTCAAAAAATTAATCATTATAAAAAGTTAAAGGTAATTACGTAGTACTCTGCTTAACAGTTTTATGCATCATGTTGTCTGTCACACAGTTAATTTCTTATCAGTCAAACTTTAGTCACTTGGATTTTATCATCACCTTGCATGTGAACAGAATATATATTTTTTTACATCAATGTTAGTGTGCTTATTCATATACAATACAGGTACACATTTTTAGGTTGGTTTTACTATTATGATGATTTGTATATTTTACTCCTACCCAAGCCACCCTTGCTTAAATTTTCCATTCCACTCCAGCTATAAAAATGTTGAACATCTATTAGGAAATAACATATCCGAGTGGCACTCGTAATTTCACTTCAAAGCTCTCGCATTTGCCTTAATACTTATGTAGAATGCCTTCACTGCATCAGTTCCTCCTTTTTTAATAATCTTGATCACCTTCTGTATCTGTATCTGATGTATGAACATTTGTGACTGTGCATTAGTATTTTTTCCAATGGCTTTAAGGCATTATTTTTAACCCCTGGGTTTCGGGCTATGGTTGTCCTCCTCCTCCTCCTCCTCCTCCTCCTCCTCCAATGCGGGAATATTTGAGAACATTAAAAAAATAATAATAAAATAAAAGAGCAATTCTTGTCTTACAAACTGGCCTTGCATGATATAAACAGGAAATAAATACATGTCCTTACCACAGGTTGTTAATACAGGAGCTAGGAAGAGTCGAGAATGTTCATGAAGTGGCATGTGTGTGACGCAGTAGTAAAGAGGTAAACAACATTAATTTGCAGGCAGTATGAGGTACATGACACTTGTTTTACTATATTAGTATTATTTACACTATTAACAATCATTATTACTGCTCCAGTAATTGATCACAATACAGTACTAGACATGTGCTTGGGGCTTAGGGGTAGAAAAACATAGTGAAGCGAGTCAAATCCAAGGGCAAGATTCCTACTTCACAAAAGCTGAGAAGCTACTGAAAAGAGACTGTGAGGCTCTCATATGTGAGTCAGTGAAAGATAAATACCTACTCGGTAACATAATCTAGCCAGGCCCGCCTTTTTATTCATATAAGACCACGAAAGATCAAAACATCACATAACATAACCCGAAGCTCTACAGACGCATGTCATATGATGTGACCTGAAACTTAGGGGTTAAACATCTGAAGCCAGTCCACAGTGAAATCACAGTGCTGTGGAATTTTCAGTTCCTCGTAGTATTATTTTAAGCAATACAGGGTACTACATTTCCTTTAATCATTGTTAAACTCAGTTCTCTCACTTTGGTGTTTGTTTGACGGCAGTATGAAAGCAATATGACATTACAGTAGCAGTCCAAAAATCCAGACTGCTTGGGGATTGGGTCGGTTCGGATTTTCGGATTTTCCGGATTCTCAGGCAGTACTTTTAAAATTCAAATTTAAGGAGGAATAAAGAAGAGATGAACAGGTACATTTTGATAGTTTATTCATTAGCAAATATAGCATGCTTCATTTATCAAAATGAGCAGTTTTAAAGAAAAGGTTGTGAATTCTAGAATTTTATTTTTTGCCTTTTTTATATTATAAATTGTAGACTTTCCAATGTCGTATGTTTCCATTAGAAAAGTATTGCTCACACCAAGTTTTTGTTTTTAATTATTTCAAGTTTGTCACTCAATTTCAATGTGTTCTTCTTTCTCTTCACACAACGAAGTTTATCTACTTTAGGAGCCATTATTATGGGCTTGTACAATACTCTGTAAATGGAAAGAATAGGATTCAAAATTACATATGTTGTCACAGTTTGATTGCTCGTTTTAAAGTGGCGACCGCGTGGTCACTTGTTGTCGCTGTGCAGCTGTGGTGCTCATACATGCGCACATACACAAAAGCCAGCTAAATAAAAAAAATGAGTTTTCGAAAAGTCCGGATTCTCGGGTGGTCCGGATTTCTGGCATCCGGATTTTTCGACTTTTACTGTATTAGTAAACAAGGAAACACGATTCCATGAAACCTGTTGTTTGAACCAGCATTGTCATAGGTCAAATTTTAAAATCCCACTATATCATAGCCTTATTCCTTAAATACATCTAAAATCACTTAATTTTAGAGTAAAGAAGAAATAGAATGACAAAATACAGTAATTGAATGTAAAAAATAAGTCGTCAAGTAAATAGTATGCTGTAAATTTAAAGTTTAACTTTTTGGGACCTAGTTTTTATTAGCTGATGTTCATAAGTTGGATGTACAAAACCCTGGGACCTTTTGTATTATAGATGTTGTCATAGCATTTCACACTGTTCACTTTGTATCCAATCTCGTCCAATTTCTCAAAAGTACAAATATAAAGTCAGTACTGTACATAGTGCAGTTTATTACATTATTGACTTTTAATCATTGTGCACACCAAAAATTTATTTAACCCCTTGTGTCATGAGATTTTAAGGTTGGATCCCAATAAGTGTCATTTCTCCATCATAAAATGAAAGTGTTCTTATGAACTTTTGAAGATTTTCCTAATAAGAAACCATAGGGCTTCTATGGTGACACAAAATTTCATTGAAAACCTTATTAGATAGTGAAATTTTTGTTTTTTTAAATTAATGCAAAAAATTTAATGATTTATAATTGTGATTTAACCCAAATTGGGCCAAATGTCATAAGATCGTGGGTTCGAATCCTGGCAGGGTGAGGTGTTGATTATATGTAGAAGTCCGCGTGCTTTATTGGGCTAATGAAATATATTTCAATTGTTTATTCCTTGATAGAGGAAGCGGGATCCTAGTGCTGTCACTAGGTACCCCTGTACAATAACACCAGAAGCATCTGGCAAGTGTGACAAGTATATACAGTATGAATATTATAAAGGGGCTTACTAAAGCCTAAGGAAGGAAGGATATTCCTTTAACACATAATCAATGTTATTTACATAGTATCTGGCCAGTATGGGGAGGATCATCGTGTCTCTGTCAGGGGGTTGTGGAGTGGTGGTCCAACAGGCGTCACGGAAGCGTTGTGTGTGGGGACATCTTAGGAGGTAGTGGATAAGGGTGCGGCTGTCGGGTCTTCTGCATAATGCACGAGAGCGTTGCTCAGGGGATGCGGGGATACCAATCTCCCAAGCAAAGTCATACCCAATGTTGAAATATATATGGATCCTCGTGTTTCGAAGCCGGATTTGGTAAAATGTTACTCTGACCACCTAAGTGATATGGGTAGTCCCCATTAGAGGTTCACGGCGCCATAAGCTCGTTGAACAGGCTTTGTGTGAAATATAACAGAGTCTAGGACTGCTTTTAGTATCCTGGTGGTGTAGAGGTAATGTTCCCCGGTCACAGTCATAAGATCGTGGGTTTGAATCCTGGCATACATTGTATGTAGAAGTCCGTGTGCTTTATTGGGCTAATGAAATATATATATATATATATATATATATATATATATATATATATATATATATATATATATATATATATATATATATATATATATATATATATATATATATATATATATATATATATATATATGGTTGAAAACAAGGTATATGCTGTCTTTTACCTCTTGGCTACAATGGGTCTCTCTCTATGCTGAATATAATCATCTGGTGTTAGCCAAATAAAATATTAAAGTTGGCATCCAGTAGTGAAGGGGTTAGTGGAGATAGTTTATTAACCACATAGGTGTCTCTCCGTACCAAATAAAATTGTGTGGATTTAGCTAAATAAAATATTAAAAGTAGCATCCTTCAGTGAAGTGATTAAAGGTCCTGTGTGGATGGTGTCAGTTGACTGAGTGAGGCATTGTTTACTTGGGACATTTAGCTCTCGAAATTGCCAGATAGCAGCACCTCCCGGGTCCCCCACAGGTTTATTGTGGCCTGAGAGGATTTGTGGAATAATGTGGGTTATTTTAATAATTTTGTGGTAGTTACCGGGGTATTGTAAATATGTGTTTTTACACAGACATGGAAAAAAATTTATGTCCACACATACACATATTCTGCTGCAAAAGGGTAAAGGAACTTATCTCAGTTTATATAATGGGGGTCTATGGGAAAATGTGCTTCAATTTACAAAAAACCCAATTTTCGAAAGACTTTTCTGGATTGGAACCGTTTTTTAAATTGAGGAATGCCTGTAGTTATGGGGTTTTTTTTTTCATGATTAATATTCAATTGTATTTTTTTTCTTTTTTCAGGGGATAATGTTATAACTAGATTTATAATATTACAAGCTGGGAATGAAGATGGTACTCCAGAAACAAATCTAATAAATGATGTCGTAAATACTTGCACTGAGAAAATGAATTTGTTTTTAGCAAGATCTGCTTCAGAACAAACTGTAATGAAAGTTGTAAGTATTGTATATCGGTGATTGATTTATATTTCTTATTCTCAAGTATAAAGCTATTCTGCAGGAATTAGATTTAATATTCACATCATTAAACAGTAGGTTGTAGCTGCTCCAAGGAATTTATGTACATCTGTCTATCTTTCTAAAAATAAAAATAAAAATGCACAATGGAGTGGCCAGTGCAGCAAGACCAAAAGTCATTTACACCTTTACACATCATTCAGTAGTCAGAAACCCAACAGCTCTACTTGAAACATTTACGGTATTAAAATTTTAGGCAAACAGTACCAGTAATGAACTAATAGAATCAGAAGTTATTAGTTGCCATCTCCTTGTTGTTTGAAATAAGAATTAAAGTAAATGATGGATGACGAGTCCCATAAACATAATTTGACCCTTTGAACTCAGCGTTCTATCTCTCATAATTTTTAATTGTTGTTGGACAAGTGTAATTACTAACCTTGTTACATGCTTAAATTCTTTAGTTGTTGAAGTGCAGTAATAATGTTATAACAACAACAACACTTTGAGGATGGTGTTAGCAGCTCATTGTCATTACTCACTGGATGGGGATCTTATGGATGGACATGTGGCTTGTGGAAATTATCCCACCCTCACCACTAGCATATTCCTCATTCTCTTCACTCAAATTCCCCTAAGATTCACTAGTCAGATCTTGAGGAAAGTCACTCATTTCATTCATATCACTGGCACTATGTACAAGAGGATCATTCTTGTCTCCAGATTCAAATGTGGCATAATTTTTCTCCTGTGTGGGATGCCACATGCAAGTGGATGCATTACAGCTTGACTCGGCTGTGGTTCACCCATTACTAATGGGCAAGAGGCCTACACAGCTTCCATAAAGATGCTCAACAAATACAAGACATGTGGAATTTAAATTGGCGCCCTAAAGACATACAGTATTGTAGTACCTCGATACACTAGACTAATTGGGGCAGACCCCAGTCTGGAAAAAGCAAATCTTGTGGGGGGAGGGATCCTGTACATAACCCTGGACTGTCTCAAGAAAATCAGGCATAAGTGTGGTTTTCGACAAATCTTTTCACTGACACGACTGTTTCGTAGTGTAAAATGTTATATGTAAGTAACCGCAAATATTGCCATATGAATAAAGAGAAAACTGTATAGAGAACAGTACTATAAAGATAGAAATAAGAGTGCAGAGGTGTATTCAGGGGTAGATTAACCCAATCATGGGCTTGCTGTTTTTGGCAGTTTTGTGAGCAATCACATAACTCACTCTTGAAATGTCATCCTGGGATGCAAATTGTTTTTTGAAAATACTTTTCTGTTGTTGTAATTGAGCAACCATCTCGTTAGCTTTCTTCCTCTTTTCTTTATCAGAAATTTTTTTATATTCACCGGAGTGCTTGGTCTCAAAATGGCAATTTAAGTTGTACACGTAATTCTTTAGCACTGCCACACATTCTTTGCAAATTAAATACACTGCTTTTCCATCCTCGTTGGTAAAAAATATTTAGAACTTCATTCCTTGTTGAATGGTCGATACTCTGCTTCAGCTTACCTCTTCTTAGATTCACTTATTTTAACTTAAAAATTATGGGTTGGGGGCAACAACATGTAAGTACAAATTCTGCAAAATCACAGTAACGTCCTCTTAAGTGAGAAGCAGAGAGAAGACTGAGCTTCTCTAGTATTGGTGCTGGACGCCCAGGTCAGTGTGGGACACAATATTGAGGTGTGGCCGTTCAGGTCATATGGTCAAGAATGAGTTTCTCCCTTTGCCTAATCCCTATGGATAACCATACTTGGGGTATTCACAAGGCCAGGTTCAGCAGGTGATGAGTCGGTCTTGCTGCAATGGGTGGCCAACTCCCACATAATATTGCTCCTTTCTAAGATTAAAAAATAAATAAAAAATTCTCCATTGCCACATGCAATGGAGGGCCACAGAAATAATCTGACAGGGAAAATTTGGCATGCGGGCAGTATCTTGCCCACCCTTGCTGTAAATGAAAGTAAAAAATAAAGCATCGGGTAAATAAAATACTGTAAATTTCAAGTTCAATCCCATTCATATCGGTGGGCTTTCGTAAATCGGACATTCGTAAGTCAGGGACGACCTATATACCTATACACAGCATGAAGTGGAACATTTCCACAGGTATTTTAGACACTGATTTGACACATTCACTGCAACATATACCCTATACAGTGAGTTCTGCTATAACGCGTGTTTTGATAACGCGAATTTGCTGTAACGTGATTTATGAATAGAGGAACGATATTTGTATAACGCGAACGCTTGTTTGCTATAACGCGATTTTTGCTTACTATTTCTCCAATTTTGTGGTATTAATTGTGAATATGGTAAAGAAGAATATCTCCAAGAAGCGTTCTGGTGATAGAATTCCCGGTGATGATCGTAAAAGAAAGGATATAACACTTGAAGAGAAGCTCGATGTTATCAACCTCAAAATCACCCTTCTCCCCCATCAAGTTACATTCATATTTTTTCAAGGTAAAGTGTTACATTTACTGTATGATTTCATTATTAGATATGAATGTAACATTTATTTAGACTGTGCTATCCTTTGTGTTAGGCTAACTACTAAATTTTTTCGATTTCGAGTAATCTGCACCTAACCCTATTTTCTCCATAAGCCCTGTTATTTCTATTACGCGATTTTCTATAACACGATATTTTACAAGAACACAACTATCGCGTTATAGCAGAACTGACTGTACTGATTTTGACACATTCACTGCAACATATACCCTATACTGATGTGACACATTGACTGCAACATATACCCTACACTGTATACAGTATGCTCTTAATTCTGAACCTGCATAATTGTGGGGGAAAATGCTTGAAAATTTGGGGAAACTTTTTTTTTTGCTAATTTATCGATTAACTGAACAGAAGACCTGCATATTGGCCAGAGGGTTGTGATATAAGAACTTCATCCTGATGTAAGAAAGGGAAAGAGAGATGAAAATGCAACTTGTGCTACATAAGAAAAGGTTGTATGTAGGAATGGTTATACAGTACTGTATGCCAGTATTGTCTTCATTAATTTTATTGGGCTAGGCCAGTCTCTTTCAAATAACTTATCCTTTTGTGAGCAGGAAAAATATTTTATTCACCCAGCACTAGGAATCTTTTACTGCCTCCATGTCAGTCTTCTCTATGAATATGTTGTATGATGTTTTCTTCAAGTTTTCACATTTTGTGTTACAAGTGGTGATTGCTGCACTTTTTGATATCCCAGCAGTCATGAAGAGTTAACATATTTTTCTAAAGCCAATTCTAGATCATTAACAGATAGGGAAGGTTAGGAACTTTTATGAAAGCTAGGGGCAGCAAACATTATTTTCTTCCAAAGTAATACTGTGGTTATATCTGATAATATTGTTAAATACCCTGTACTGTACTATAAATCTTTCGGGCTTCATGTTTATAGAAACAATATTATTTTCTAACAGGTTGATGAACTTAATTATGTGGCTCCACTTTTGTTGATCTTCACCAGTACAAAGAACAAAGATACTGCTCCTCATATAGCAAATTTTACCAGGATTCTTACTCAGCTGTGGACCAGGTCAGATTATATACAGTATATATATATATATATATATATATATATATATATATATATATATATATATATATATATATATATATATATATATATATATATATATATATATATATATATATATATATATATGCTGATAACCACAAGGAAAGAAGAAAACACGAAGTTCCCAAGCGCTTTTCGTGTAATTCACATCTTCAGGGGTGAGTACAGACTAGAGAGAGTAATACAAATCAAGGTGTATATATACAGAGGAGGGTGAGACCAGGTCCACAATGGTCAGGTATTAGGTAATGACCCTACTAATCTTTAAATAGCACACAACGGTTGGTGGTCAGGTCAGATGGTCAAGTGACCCGGCCTTCTCACCTGATCACAAATCTTCTTAATTACAAAATTGTCCAGCTTGTACATGCCGTTACTCAAATTCATGTTAAATGCTTCGGTATGTTTAATAAGGCTAGATTCTATGATGTTCCTACTGTCAATTGACTTACATTGTAATATTGAGGAGGCATTATCCCAGTCAATGCAATGCTTGTTATCCCTCAAATGAACAAACAGAGCATTGGATTCCTGGCCTGTCCTAACACTGTATTTGTGTTGTTTAATTCTAGTTGCAAGATCTTTACCTGTCTGGCCTAAGTAAAACATATTACATTCCTTGCAAGGAACTTTATAAATGCAACCAATTGTGTTGTTGGGGGAGTTCTTGATTAACATTTGTTTAACAGTGCATGAGTTTTTAAATGCCACATTGACGTTCCAGGTTTTTAGCTGTGCAGGAATGTGTGAGAAATTTTTGTGAAATGGTAATATTAAGATATTCTTATGGTCATGGGTGGGCTTGGGGTCAGTTCTATAAAAAGTTTTCTTAGTAATGTTTAAGCATTTGTCTATGAAAGATCTAGGGTATTTAAGGTTTGAGCCAATATTATATATATATTTGTATTCCTCATCGATGAATTCCGGACTGCAAATTCTCAAGGCACGTAAAAACATTGTTGAAAATACTGACTGTTTGACTTTATTATGGTGGGCAGAATAATAATGAATGTATGAACACACATTAGTTGGTTTTCTATAAATACTGAACTTAAAAGTGTTACCTATTCTGTGTATCAGACAGTCTAGGAATGGCAATTTGCAGTCTTGCTCTAATTCCACAGTGAATTTGATCGAGGGGGCTAAGTTGTTAAGTTGTGGTAGGAAAGCTTTTAGGTCCTCATTACATGGCCAGAGACATAATACATCATCAACATATCTAAACCAGACTGCTGAGGGTGGTAAAATATTACTTAATAGTTTCTTTTCAAAGAATTCCATATATAGGTTGCTTAATACAGGTGAGAGTGGATTACCCATTGCCATACCAAATTTTTGAGCATAATATTCCCCATTGAATTCGAATTTCAATCCTTAATACAAGTATTTCGATTTCTTTCCTTAAGTTATCATATATATATATATATATATATATATATATATATATATATATATATATATATATATATATATATATATATATATATATATATATATATATATATATATATACAGGGTGATTCAGCAAAGAGTCCATTATATTGGAGGATGAAATCCTAGGATAACTCTAAACCATAGTGTCTCTATGGTAAAATGTCAGATTCTGCATAGTTTCCATGTTACAATATGTTGTATTAATGAGAGTGAATTTGAAGTATAACCCTTAGGTTTTCGTAATCATTTAATCACAGATCTCTCAGTGTGCTCACTGATCCCTTTTTGTTACAACCTAAGGAAATGTTCAAAGTTGCCCCCTTCTGCCTCAATGCAGGCCTGTACACATCGTACCATTGATTGTCTGATGCGTTCCAGAATGGCTGAACTATGTTTAATTTGCTCGCACCTGTCATGAACACGTGGGCATATGCAGAATCTGACATTTTACCATAGAGACATTGTGGTTTAGAGTTATCCAATGATTTCATCCTCCAATTTAATGTACTCTTTGCTGAATTACCCTGTGTATATATATATATATATATATATATATATATATATATATATATATATATATATATATATATATATATATATATACTGTATATATATATATATATATATATATATATATATATATATATATATATATATATATATATATATATATATATATATATATATATATATATATATATATATATATATATATATATATATATATATATATATATATATATATATATATATATATACATATACATACATACACATTGGTCCCTCGGTTAACGAACACAATTCATTCCAGAAGGTCGTTCGTTAACCAAAAATTTTGTTAACCGAAACCATTGTTTCAATGGGATTTTGGGTAATTGGTTCCAGCTCACCAAAAATTACATACAAACTAAAATAAATGCAGTAAAGTACACTTAATTTGAGGTGTGCATGTAGAAGGCTCCTGGTTGATGATGATGATGATGATGATGGGAATTAGAATGGGGGTGGAGGAGAAGGAAGAAGAGAAGGCATTAGGGTGGAAGAGAAGTCACTCCATGCTGCCATTTCACCAATAAAATTTTAGTTCACTTGGTGTAATTCAAGATTATTTTCTTTAAAGCAACACTGCACTGCATTATATATTGTCAATATGTAAAATAAACTTCAGAATGACCAATAATTGTACCGTAAAAATGTAAAAATAGTTTATGTTCAAGAGAGTCTCAAGCAAGAAGCTTCCTCCACTGAGCAGGGACACACACTGACGCCATTTTGGGTGAGTCAAGTGGCTGTTTGGCGTGCTAAAAACTAGTTCCTTGTACTTCAATTATGTTAAATAATTGTTAAAATAACTAAAAACTTTAATATAAGACTTGGAAAATTATTGAATAGTACAACCTTCTTGATATTTACTCAAATGGTACCGAATTTAAGCTCTAAAACCAATTACTGTATTGGCGGACTAATACTACAGCTGGTGAGCAGGCAAAAGCAGGTGAAAACATGTTGGGAAAAATTCGTAAGGAATTCGTTAACCAAAATTTTTTCGTTAACCGAAGTGAAGAATCTTATGGAAGGTAATTCGTTAACCGAAATTTCGTTAACCGAGGGATCACTGTATATACAGTCAACCCTCACTTTACGCGGTTAATGTAACCCACAGGGTACCGCGGAAAGTGAGAAACGCGTAAAGTGAATAACATAACATATGGGATTAAATGAAATAGAGACCAGCTGACCCCCAAACTCCACTTTTTCCAACACAATACCTATGTTCTAGTAAAAATAACATCTTAATTTTATGATGGTACATGGACACAATTAATACTTAAGAGAAATAGAGAAATACAGTCACCAAGTTAATGTCCATTCAAATAATGGACTCAACTCCCTCCCCCTCTTCTCACACTACACTCGCTGGCTCTTCCCTCTCTGAGAAATTTTGGGGGAAAACCACTAGATTTTAAGGTATACCGTGTAGTAATAAATAATACCTCAAACTAAACTTAGGATAATATAATTGACATTGCTGGATACCTTGTAAGACCAGGAATATTTTGAATGTAAATGTCATATATTTTGCACAAAAGATAACATATTTACTCAGAGTAAACATTATATCTAAAATTTGTATGTCGAATGCAAAATCTATGATGTTTATATTCAAAATGATCATCAAATTGTAAGAATTCCAGCAATGTAAATTATATTCTGGCCAGATAATTTGTATGAATTTTATGAGCTAAATAAAAAAATTATACTTCACCTGTGTAAAGGGGTACACCCACCGCGGAATGTGAGCATCCTGGGTTCTGGCAGGGCACCGTGGAAACGCGGAATGTGGGACCGCGTAAAGTAAGGGTTGACTGTGTGTGTGTATATATATATATATATATATATATATATATATATATATATATATATATATATATATATATATATATATATATATATATATATATATATATATATATATATATATATATATATATATATATATATATATATATATATATATATATATATATATACACATACAGTTTACCAGCTTATGGCTTTCATAGCAGCGTTTTTACTATCTGTGATTTTGTACCAAGCTAATTTCTTAGCAGGTTTTTTCCACAACTTCTTGTATTGAAGAGTGTCGGCTTCGGATGCTATTTTATAGAATTTTGACCACAGCATACCACCATCCGCCTGCTGCCTGCCTCTCCTCCTCCTCCTCTCCGCTTAGGTAAGCAGTAAGGTGCGCAGTGTATGTCTTTGTTCGCGTTATCACTGGCGTCGCCTTCCGCCCGGTTCTACCCCAGAAAGCCTTTCGCCTGGACCCAGCGGCACTAAACCAAAAAGACCACACGGCGTTCATTAAACTCACGAGCTGAAGTACCAAATTGTTTCAAGATTTGGAGAAAGGAAAAGGCCCGTAAGTTGATCTCGTAGCCAGCATGGCGTCGCGAATCTACGATTAAGTAATAGAGATGCAGCCAGATAAGGAGCACATGAAGATCACCAAGGTCTGCAGGTGCTTCATCTATCAGGTATTGCCAGAACAGGGTGCTGGCAAAGTGGAAAGCTTGCTGGTGAGTTATTTGGTGCGTCAAAAACGTGACGCCAACATGGCGGTGGACCGCGGCACAGCTCAGTGCAGAGATGCGCCGTGAGCTATCTTGCTTGGCATTGACAGCAAGCTGGGAATTGCAGAGCCCAAAGCCGCTTCAATGCTTCCCATGGCGATTTGGCTGCATAGGTTTAAGAGGAGAACAAGGTCACCAACATCAGCATTGTTGGTGAGCCAGTGCTGACCCGTCGCGTGACTAAGTTTTCCTCGTTTTTTCGTGAGATTATGGAGGAAGAGACAGTACAGTGGCGACCAGGTGTTTAACATGGACGAATCTGGTCTTTTCTGAAAGATTACCTTCAAGACCGTTGTCAGTCTGCGAGAGCAAGGTAAGGGGCGGAGAAGATGCAGAAGGCAGCATCACCGTCCTGTTTACCGCAATGCCTCCGGTACCTGTAAACCGAGG